TTAATTGGTGACCAAGAACAAGAGTTGTGCTATAATTGATGAATTTGAAGCTAATGTGCACATGCATGTGTAGGATCACCATGATTTTGCATAATCAAGCATGGATTAAGTTGAATATGGAAATATGAGTGTTGAATCATACATGCAAACATGTTTTTGTTGTGTTCCATGAGGATGAACACCATTTGCATTATTTGGAATAGAAATGAAGTCAAGATTAGCATGCATGTTTGAATAATTAAAGATAGGAGTTTTGAATGCATGAATGTGTATGATGGAATTGGGTTTGAGTTAAATTGAGCCATGCATGTGATTTAATTATGAAATTGAGCTTCAATATGTTGTAATTTATGCTTGTACCATGTTAGTACATGTCTATGAGTAATTTGAGACATACCATGCATGAATTGTTGGTTGAAAGTTGAAATGGAGCTCAGGAACACAATTCTGGGTTTTCCAAGATTTTGAGGTCCGCTCGAGCAGGAAACCTGCTGCTCGAGCGGGAAATGCATGCTCCCAGTACTTTTTGCAGACTTGATGTCTGCTCGAGCTGGGTAATTCACGCTCGAGCGGGGGAGTTATTTTGACAGGCGTTCCGCTTGAGCACGCTATTTCAAGCTCGAGCGTATTTTTGATGCAACCAGTACTTTTGCAGGCCTATAGGGTACGCTCGAGCGGGGAAGTTCACGCTCGAGCGAGGACCCTGTTTTCTGAAATTTTGAAATTTGCATTCTGTGTTCTGTTTTCCGTTCTCTTTCACTTGTAAACACTCTTAGGCATGCATTGAGCATTGTAAATAAGTTAACGAGATAAGAATAAAGCCTAAAGAGGAATATGCGAATTAAAGAACGGATTGGACTGTCAGTGACCCTTTTGTGTTCATGAAATGTGTAGGGTCAAGCTCCAGGGCAAATCCACAAGCCGATCACTGTGAGTAATATCGATATTTGAAAGCTTAGCAGTGTCCAACTGTTTATTCCCTTATAAGCTTTATGAGTTGCTAATTGGGATTGTGGACAAAAGTCTGACATGAACGAATGAATGGACCGAAGGCCGTTTCGATATAAATAAATGGACCTAAGGTCGTTTTGATAGAAATAAATGGACCTAAGGTCGTTTTGACATAAATGAGTGGGCCGAAGGCCGTTTTAACACGAATGTATGGGCCAAAGGCCGTTTTGACGTAAACGAATGGGCCGAAGGCCGTTTTGACACGAATGTATGGGCCGAAGGCCGTTTTGACGTAAACGAATAGACCGAAGGTCGTTTTGATAAAAATGAGTGGATCGGAGGTCGTTTTGATATATATGAATGGAAGTAAGATCGTTTTGACATGAATGAGTGGGCCGAAGGCCGTTTTGACACGAATGTATGGGCCGAAGGCTGTTTTGACGTAAACGAATGGGCCGAAGGCCATTTTGACAGAAATGAATGGGCCGAAAGGCCGTTTTGACATAAATAAATGGGCCGAAGGCCGTTTTGACATGAATGGAAATCTGAATGGGCCAAAGGCCAGAATGTTTGGAACTACAGTCACTTGATTTGAATTTCGTATAGTTATATATATCTGTTAAATAGAAATATGAATTGGGCCCAAGGCCGTTTGGAACATGTTGTTCTACATTGTTATGTAACTTCTGTATTTGATTTGATATTATTCATTGGGCTTTCGCTCACGCTCATTCATGTGTTTGTAGGTGAGCCAAGAGAAGTCTAGACCCAGCCTTAGTGAAGTCTGTATGGAACAACTAAGGTTTTGAGAGAGTCAGCCCTTGTGTCTCACGCACGAGACCCGTCTTCGCCCTTTTGTTATGTATTTACATTTTGTCAAGTTAGCGAAGTTTTGAATACGTCTGTATATGGTTTTCATGGGTTGACTTAGTTTGGATGATCCTGTCTGTATAGAATCTTATGTCATTACACTTTCTGTTGTAAGTTATTAACATATGTACATATGGAATGTTATGGTGTGCATATAAGCACGGCTCTATGGACAAAGTTTTAAATTTGCTTCCGTTTGGCCCCTTTTACTCTGATGAGTCTTGTATTTTTGTTTTTATTCCACACACCAATTATTTCAATCATACCCTTAACTCATATCTTGTACACACACACCACCTCAACTCTCTTTCCACACACTCAACCCTTTTTCCACACACCTATTCAAAATTGAAGAGCAACGGTCTGCCCTATTTCAATTCACAATGAAGACAGTGAAGGAAACTCCATTGAAGAGACTAAAGCCCTGAGACCTTCCATTAAAGAACCTCCATTGACAATAACTCCATTGAAGACCCTCCTCCTCCATTCGACACTTTAGTTCTGAAATCTGTTGAAGGTAACTATTACTTTGTTTCGATTTCGTTATCACATTTGGTATCATTTTGTTTTCTCTGTCAAGTGCATTGACAAATTAGAATATACCCTCGTTTTTTCCTTGAAAAGTTTTGATTTTAGAAATTCGACACTGGTTTTTTGAAATGCATTTTTGAATTCGACACTTGGTTTCCGAAATAGATTGATTTGTTCAACACAGTAGTTTCGAAATATATTGATTTGTTCAACACTGTAGCTTCGAATATAATAGAATATTTTGGCACTGGTTTTCCGAATTAATCATGAAAAAAAAAGAAAAAAGAAACTCCTACACGAAAAAACTAATCTTTTCATTACTGCTTTTTCTATAACCAGACATATTTTTATTTGATTTTGAACTTCCATTGGTTTGTAACTCTTCCATAACAAAATCAAGAATAATTGTAGAACTAATGAGAAAATGATATAAATAAGGAGATTGACTAATAAATCTCATATTTTGGACTTGTAATCTATATAGTCTCATATTTTTTTCTTGTGATTTATTTAGTTCTTTTTGATGTGTGATGACTTATTTACCCACCACATTAAAGTGTCACATTTGAAAAAAATATACTAAAAAGTTTTTTAGTGTTACTACGTTAGAGTGTCATATTTGAGAAAAGTACACTAAAGAATTTTTAATTTTTTGCGGTGTCATATCATACTCGTCATGTTAAAGTGTCACATATCACGTTTGGGAAAAGTACACTAATGAGTTTTTAGTTTTTTTGAAGTGTCACATCACACTCGTCGCGTTATCACATTTGGGCCATGGTGTCACATTTAGAAAAATTACACTAATGAGTTTTTAGTTTTTTTAAAGTGTCATATCATATTCGTCATGTTGTCACATTTAGGAAAAGTATACTAAGGAGTTTTTAGTTTTTTTTTTTTTAGTAAAAGATTTAGAGTGTCACATCATACCCGCCACGTTGTCACATTTGAGAAAAATACATTAATGCTGTGTTTGGTTGGGGGATTTGAAGAGAGATTTGGAAAGGGAAATGGAAAAGTTAGGTGAAATGTGAATAAAACATACCTATATTTCACCTAGTTTCACACACTTTTTCCCTTTCCCTTTCCATTTCCAAATCCCTCTCCAAATCCCCCAACCAAACACAGCATAAGAAATTTTTAATTTTTTTGGAGTGTCATATTAATACCTGTCACATTAAAGTGTCACATCATACCTGTCACATTAATAAAAGGGTATAGTCATCACCAAAATACTATCAAAATCGAAAATAAAACCACACGAAAAGAAACTCGCCACTAATAGGACTTAACAGAACAATAGAAACAATTTGGGACTAATTGGAGTACTTGTTTGTGAGATGGGACTTATTAGTAAATATCCCTATAAATCAGTGGAGTATAAACCTAGAGAGTAAAGCAATGTGAGAGTTATTATGAGAGTATTACTTTACAAGCAATAGAGGAGTGTAGAGTGTGTAGCAAGCAAAGTGTGAAACAATAGAAGAAGTGACAAATAATGAAGAAATTAAGATTTAGTTTTTTTTTTTTTTACTTAAAAGATATACATTGAGATTTTTTTTTGTTTTTAAAAGATGTATACGGAGAATATTTTGATGAGTGTTGCTATTAGCACCCCAACAATTATTTTGGACTCTCCATTTCTTTGAACCCCACTTATTAATTCTAAAGCCCTTAAAATTCTTATCCCCTCAAATAGTACCAAAATTATTCTTGTAAAAATATTCTACCTATTCAATTAAATGCACACCCCTACACCCCAAAAAACCTCTCTCCCAAAAACCCTAACAAAATCCACGAAGGTAATTACTATTTCATCTCCACATACTTGTTCATGACTTGAGAAAATAAATGTTCGGTTACATATTGCTGAACAAATAAACAATGTTTGGGCTTGTGCTCCCGAATTTTTGTCATATATTCAAGAGTTCAGTCCCAAAAAAATGACGAATATTTTTTATTATTTTTGCCATTTTTATCAAGAACCTTACCCTTATAAGGTTAATCTCCTCTGAACTAAAAATATCATCAAAGTTATAAATCTCCACTAAGTTTTTATTGTTGTACTCCTCTTGTTATGGAGTTGTGATTACTGAAAAAACTTTCACTTATTGTCATTACCGAAAAAGTGTAGGTAATCAAATGATTGGCACCATTCCTGTCGGAATATTACCGCCAAAGAATTTTCAAGGTTTTGAAGATGAATAGGTTTTGAAGGTAGGATTTAATGGAGGTAAGTGCTCTCACAAACCCTAACTCATTGATGTAATAGGTGTATGGACTTAATTGTGAGATTAGATGTCCTAAAATTATTGATATCTTTTTTAATAATTTCATTTAAGATTACTATTATAATAAAATAAAATAAAGGCTAAAAAATAAGAGACTTAAAATAATTAATGATTTGCTAATAACAACACTCTATTTTGATATAATATTATAGGTGTTGATAGATATCCATTATGATCATTTTAGCCTAAGATATAACTGTCATTAAAATAATAGTTCAATAAATGTATAGATTGAGTTAACTATGTGGGTAGAAATAAAATTTTCCAAAATATTTACATAAAAATGACTGCCCCTACGTTCGAACTCACAAGACAGCATAGTATATAATTCAAAGGATAAAAAGATCAGCAAGAAGAGAAGCAAATTATCCCCTGATCAAGGAGAAGACAATACAACCATTGATATGCCAAAAAGCCAATTGGTTTTTTCTAATTCAGAGTACATGAATTATTTTGCTTGAGCAATCTTCTCTCAAGGATCTCAAATAAGTAACTTTCCGAAATAAAAATCAGTTGGTGAAATCCTATTTCAGTCACACCCAAAAAATATTTTAGTTCCAATGTAATACAATATAATTCTATCAATTGCTAAATATTTCTGAGACAAAGGTTTGTCTTCAGGGGTATGAAGTTAACAAGGGCAGGAAGAAATACAACACAAAATCAGAAGGTATTATTATTCTGATAGTCAGAGCTCAAAACTCCAACTAAGATCACTATATCCGCAGAACACACTACAACCCAATAGTCTTCTCGAACTTTTGGATTTGGTTAAGGAATATCCATGTCATCTGCAAAAGCACAACATTTTGAACAATTACTTAAAATTTGAAGACAGGTGGCTTCCAGTGTAATTTGTACTAGTTCACGCGGACACAGAGAGAGAGAGAGAGAGAGAGAGAGAGAGAGTACCATGACATGGGGGGCAATCCTAACACAGTATACTGGAAATCCTGTATAGAATTGGAAGGGGCCTCCAGATTTCAAGGTTTTCATGGCACAATCTAAGGAACCAGTGTATGGGAATTTCCCTTCAGCATCAGGTTGCATCTTCTGTATTTGGGTTTTCACATAATCGAAGGGTAAACTACAGGCTGAAGCAAAGAATCCTGAAACTGAACTGGCCCCTGAGAATAGAAACAATCCAATCAAACATAAGAATCACATTTGCAGGAAAATCAATGCCATTACATTAATACACACAACCCGGAAACATACTACAATTATATCTGCACTTTCTAATTTGTTCAAATAATGGGCAAGTGAAACAAACATGTCATACCTCACTCAAATGTATTCTCTATTTTTTATCCATTAAATGATATGCGAAGAATCACCACAATTCAAAGGAATAGAAGTTTTATTTGACATTCTTTCATCAACAAAACTGTACAACATAAAATAGGAAGGGACAGCAAAATCCAGCTCAAACAAACTCCTTATGATGGCCTTATACAAGGTTGCCAATATGCCAACAAATCAGATAAATTAGCACACTGTGGACAGCTAAAGCCAGCCTAACCTGACCATAGGCAATGGCCAAATCTTTTTCTACTGAACAACTATTGAGCATTATAGAATAACTTCAACATGAATATTAAAGAATTCAAATTCAATAAAATTAAAATGGGCCATAATAAGCTAAAATTGATTGAAAATCATTAGATGCACCTAGCCAGGTCATGCATGAACCCATAATTTCTACAACAGCTCAAAAAATAAATGGGCCAGCAACATATGTTTGATCAGAAACCAATTTGTTCCATCAGTAACTGCAAAACCACACTATTCGTATTGCAAACTCAATACTAAGCATGACCCAGCTATTGGAGAAACATTTTTTAAGGAAGCCCAAAAGCAACCCAACTATCTTATTCTGGCTTAAGGCCAGCTATATAGACCTATTAGTTTACATTAGCATTTAATTACAAGCTTAGAGGCCATCAATTTGAATCCTACACATAATTGGGATTATAACAAGCACAGAACAACATCATTTTTCACAATGCCAAAAACATGTTCAGATTCAAAATTAAATTCTAGACCCATTTAGGGTTGCTGAACTTGAAGGTTCTTTAAAAGAAGTTGGGAATGCGTTTGGCAAGGTTAATTAAAAAGTGCTCAGGTAAGGACATGTATGGAAGTTGGTATAATTCAATGCGAGTATGAAAGGGCCCCACATGAGCAATAAACTAAGAATCAGATGATTCTAAAAAAATTTAGCTTTGATCTTAATTTTAAGTAGAAACACCCTAATCAGATGCTATAGCCAACAAGAATAAGCAACCCCAAATGGGGCTTGGACTCTAGAGTCCACAACTCTCTTTTTCTTTTTCTTTTTTTCCCTTTTCAATTTCAAATATGCTTAAATCTGAACACACATAAAATTCTTTTGGTAAGAGTACCAACATGTAGCATGTAGATTTCGAAAATCTTAACATTAACTAAAAGGCTTATCTATTGCCAAAGTAACATTGGCTTCTACCAAAGTAATGCACAATACATTTGTACTTAATGTACAACAGATCAAAGCAATGGTTGATCTGGCAAACTTCATTGCTGCTTCGGTAACAGCCATGGCCTAACTAATTTTTTTACTAAAAATTCATCCCAATATTTGAAACATCAGTATTACATCACGACACCATACAGCTGAGTACAAATAATAAGTTGGAGAGGAAGAAAAACTGAAAGAGTCCTAAGGAACAAAAACAAAAAGTTTAATTACAGAGACACATGAATTTATTATATATGATAAAACATAAAAAGTTAGTTAAAATTCATGCCAAAGCATTTGAGGAAATCTGGGCAGTATTTACTATTTGACAGAGACTTACCAACCACTGTAGCTGCCTCACCAAAACCAAGAGAATCCTTGAAGAACTCCACACTTTGGTCATATGAGGCAAGCATTCCCATATTCAGCGCCATTGCTCTCACTACTGTAGGGCCTGCACCTTTCCAAAGTGCCAAAACTCCTTCGTCTGCAACAATACGATACAGGGCATGGAATGCATTCGTGTAGTTCCGGCGCTGCGCGACAGGTAAGGTAGCATCTGCCTGCATACGAATGAGTGCTAAATCTGCTGGACTACCAACGGATGCTCCAATTGCTCCAGCAGTTAGCCCACACAAAGCCTTCTGATATAAAGGTAGGGGCTTCCCATCATTGGCCTCAATTGCCTTATTTGTTAAAATCCTGACACCAGAGGGGAAAAAATAAGTTGCAAACTTAAATTTAAGGATTTTATAATTCAAATCTAAAAGCAAAGTCATATCTTATACATAAACATCACAGATCATCCACATACAACCCACGTGTCCATACAGAGCCATATCAAAAGGAGTGACAAAACAGTCTAGCACAATTGGGTTTGCCCTGGTGGACCCAGAAAAAAGCAAATCATGCCTTCATTTTACATAGCATTCAGAATGGAGTCTACATCATTATCCATGAAATTTACTACTATTGGTCCACACCTGACATGTTCAGGATCATTCTAATTTTTTCCTACACAAGTCAGCTTCCCTATATAGAAGTTCATTCTTAAAGCTATGTTAAAATTTCCAAATTGCATGGCAAAAAGAATTATAATGGCTACTTTCCAATAAGCTATTCACATGCACACATGCACAACCAAAGATAAGAAATACATAGATGTACAACCATTGTCAATATACCATAGGTTCAAAGTTCAGAGCCCCATGCCATTGGTTTTGCCTTCTCAAGAAGCACAATGACAATTATGACGCGGGTTAAAGAGTTATAGAAACCTGCTGCATTATAATCTGTATGAAATGTCAAAACCAAATGCAATAAAAGGATGTACTACCACAGATTCTTCCAACAAACTCAGATACCCATCATCTATGAAGCACGAACACGAGACACGGTGATTTCAAAAAAAATGGGGACACGGACACGGCGAGGCACACGGAAAATTAATTAATTTATTTATTTTAAATATATTTGCTATGTAGATTAATATTATGTTACCAAAACAATCAAAATTAATAAAAACTAACATTAATTCAAAATATATATTAAAAAAACACTACATTTATATTTATAAAGGTAAAAAAAATAAATAGAGAAATTAAAAAAAATATATTAGAATAATCATAAATACAGAAAAATATATAAACATAAAGAAAAAAAATTAAATAGAAAAATATAAAATGTACAAATATAAATATAAATGAGAGAGAGAGAGAGAGAGAGAGAGAGGTCTATAAATCAAAATAGATAAATAAAAAAAAGGAAGAGGCAAGAGAGAAGAGAGGCACAAGGGGAAGGAGAAAGACACAAGGTCAGAGAGAGAGGCGAGAGGCCAGAGGCAAAAGAGAGACACGCGAAGTCAGAGAGAGAAGCGAGGGGGAGAGAGAGAGAGAGAGAGAGAGAGAGAGACTTTACCTGACCGACGAACCAGCTTCTTCTTCTGGCATGATTTTGAGATTTAGGGCCAAAGCTCTAAACTCTTTCTATCGTGATTCTAGACACGCGTGTCCCCGGCGTGTCCCTTAATAAAAATTTAAAGGGACACACGTGTCCGACACCGCGACGGCACCTATTTCAGCATGTCCGTGCTTCATCGCCCATTATTCTCTTGGACATAAACTTTTAATTATCAAGAAAGGAGAATGAACATTCATATGTGAGCTTCACAAGTCCACTATATATATATATATATTTTTTTTATAAATAGTCATAAGTTCACTATATATCCCACGCCCTGAATATGCAATTACACAACACTACCATAATAAGTTTTTATAATTTTTTGTTATACGTCAATAAGTGCCCCCTATGTCAGACCTAAAAAACTAAAATTTCTTTTGAATTTCAGGAGTAAAAAACACAATTACACTAGAAGCTTTTTTTTTTTGGACAAGAATAAATTGTACTTGAATAAATTGTTCTATTAAAAAAATTGTAAGATCAAAGTCAATTAAATTGTAAGAATGTACTAAAAAAATTGTTCTGTTATAAGACCAAAGTCAGTTAAATTACAATAATCCAATGTACTGACCAAGTCTCAAACTGGAAAACAAAGGCACTGCCAAAAATTGGAGCCCAGAAGCAAGTTAAATTATGATCAACAAAGTAGCTATCTCCAATACAATAAACACTAAAATGTAGCTCTTTCTAATATTGTGTTCCTTCCCAATAATAATAAATATGGCAATGGGGCATGTTCAGTAGGGGTTAGTCCTCCCCCACCCCTGCCCAGTTTAACTTTAATAAATGTCCTTCATTCCAACCCTTTATAATCGTAGTAGGTTTATTTTTATAAATGTTATGTCTCTATTGTCATTTGTTTTGTTTTTTTTTTTTGGATGTGGAATTCATATGCCTTGTCAGTAAATCTCTCCCACGTTACCTGAACAATACATAAGAGATAGCTTCATAGTTTATGTAAAATGTTAAAGTGTTCACCTGCTTTGCGTTTTGTCCATGTTGTCTATACAACATTTGGAATAGCTTCCTAGTGTATATATAGCAAAGTATTAGTTTGAGTAGAGTACATATATTGTATAATGTGAAAGTATAAATGGGACAGGTTATAATCAAGGTGGAGTGACCAAAACTGGTCCCAAACCCGATATGGGTTGAGCCCCTAAACCCAAAACCTTTAAAAGTGAATCCAAAACACAAGGCTTTTTATCCCTCCTGAGGAGAGGCGTACGCCTCACGGTGTCTAGGCATAAGCATTTCAAATTTCAAATTTTTATATTTATTGAATAAATAAAATATTTTAGAATAGCAAAAAAATATTTAAACTTGAAAATTAAATATAAGCGTAGATACTTTTCTCCTTTTAAGTTGTCAAATATTCACTGCAAAGTAGAAATTTTGCAGTCATCAAATGTGAAAACAAATTCTTAGCATTAGTGATGTAGAATGTTGCAAGCAACAATAAGAAAGAAGAGAGAAGAGGGCCACAGTCCTAACACAAATGACCACAGCCTTATTATCAATATCAATAACCCAAAGCTAAATAAATATTACAATGCAAAAACCTAATAATTATAGGCTAGAAACCCTAATATAAAATAGGAAAATAAATGAGGAAATAACAAACCAGTGGCTGACAAAAAAATTAATTACACTTAGAAAGTCTACGGCCCCTATTAGAGTAAGGCATGCTCTCGAAACCAGACTCACTCGTTCTCGTCTTCGGCAATTAACCTATTCCAGAGCAATCAAGTGATTAGCCCAATAAGTGATAAACATTATAAATATTAATAATTAAAATCATAAACTTTTTCACTAATGTGTAATAATTTTTGAAAATTTCCATCGAGGGGTAATTTCCCCGAAATAAGTCCTAACAAAATATAAGACCAAATATTAAGCTAAATATTTATAAAACTCCTAAATTAAACTATAATAAAAAAAATTAATAAAATACTATACAATAAAGACATAAATAGAAATATAAATTCGAAATAAAATATCCACGCCAAAGGTGCTCACACATTCTACATCATTCTTCTCGACTGATAAAAAGAACTCATCCTTGAGTTTCCTTTTAGATATTGAATCCAGTTATGCCAACGGATCAAATATTTTGAGTATGTATGGCATTTGACTTTCTTGTTCCAATTGATCGGGTGTGATAGGACTGTTGATAAGGTCCACCAAACACAAGTTGAACACGTAAAGAACATCTTCAATACCAATAAAATCAATCATGTCTAACTTGGTCAAAGAAGAATCAATCGGGAGCAAAGTGTGTCAATAGGAAGTTCCTCTTTCAATAAAACCATGTCCTGTGTGGAGTCACTTACCCTTCAATGACTTCTTGGACTTCTAGATTTTTCTCCAAAATAAGATCACTTTCCTTAGGTTGGAACGACTTGGTCAACAATTTCTACATGAGTCACAAGCACTATGAAGAATTTCTGAAGTACCTCCTAAAATATGAGTCAACAATTTATCCAAGTTGCTTACATTTCTTGCAGTGGCACTGTCATTTGATCATGCTGATCTATCATGCGCTTAGAATTATTTTTTGTTAGTCTTGAAAAAATGTCACTCTTTGAATATAGCTTTGAGTTGGTCATCATGATGACAAGAAGAATGAAACAAAGGGACTAAATATGGTCAGGCTGGACCTTAAGGTCAAAATTTGTTTGGGCTTAGGGTTGTCTTGTTTGGGCTTCTTTCTAGGCTACAGATACTTGGGTTGGGTATATCTTAATAGAAGATGGTTGTTGAACATAGCCTATAGGTCAGAACTAGTTTGGGCTTAAGATGCTCTTGTTTGGGCTTTAGGAGATCTGGTGGCTGGGTTGGGCTAGTCTAGATGAATTTTAATAGGCTGAGTACATGTATTGACTAGCTGCATTCTAAATATTGGGTTTGGACTTTGGTTAGGGTGGGGCTTGAGTTATAGATATTGATTTGGACTTAAATAAGTAGGTTGGATAAAGGTATTTACAAGATGGACTGGTTTTAAGTTTAAAGGGTTGGCTTCTATTAATGGGCTAAACTGTTATTGAGTAAAAAGGTATTGGGTAAGATGGGTTCGGTATTGGGTCAAAAAAGTAGGTCGGATATAAGGGCTATAGAATTGGTTGGTGTTTTTGGGTCAAGGTTCTAACAAACCTAGAAATTATAAAGAAGACTATTTGGCTTTGTCCCTTCTTGGCTACCCCATGTTTACCATGGGCACGATACTGGTACACCAGATATGCATACCTTGAACATAACATTGGGACACGATTCAATAATTAAACAGCAAAGCAACAACGTCGAGGTCATTGGAAAGGGGTGTGGCCAACAACTCACAAGGGTGTTCCAGCAATTAGGGGAGACTGACAACGATAGACAACAAGTTGCCAAAGACATGACTCTAACAAGAAGGCATGCATTGTAGAACTGCTGAGGTTGACTTATTTGCTTGGTGTAGATAGCGGTGTCAGCGATGGTGAGATGGATCTTGCAATTGATGATTGACTATGAAGCACCAACACTTCAAAACAATTGTCGTATCCGTGTAAGACACACGAACACAAAGGGAACATGTACGGGACACACCACATGGCGTGTCCCCTTATTTAATCAATTTATTTTCCGGAGGCACGCCGGGAACACACTAGGAACATGCTAAATTGTTATTTTCCATATTTAATTTAGTATTTTTGATGAATGTTGAATATTGATTGTCTTATTTTTTTCTTAGATTTAAATAC